TAGAGTAGCATGCTTTTGAAAATGTTACTGTAAATGGCAGTGAATCTGAAGACGATTATTAAAAAAAAAAAAGCTACAGCATTAATTTTGTAAAGATTGAGTTGTACATGCATTTGGGAGTTTAAAGTTTAACGTAGCTCGCAGGCTTTGGGCTCATCCAGTCTGACCGCTGAGGCGCTCCAGAGCCCGCGCCGAGCTGCCCTAGATTCGCTCTACAGACGCTGGAGAGAGAGACAGTCGGCAACAGAGCCTAAATCAGGTCCCAGGTGAGCTAGAAAGCTACATTTCTAACCGAGGCATTTCAGTTCAAGCCATAAAATCAGGTGGGCTAAATGTCTGTCTGCTTTGTAGGTTATTGTACAATGCTGAATCGATACGATTAACTTTGACATAACTATTAAGACAATGGAGCTCCATGGAATGAAAAGGAACTAACAGAGAAACGCTGATGTACCTGGGAAAGGAGGGTGGCAGTGCTTTTTGTCCTTTAACAATTACGCATTTTAGGATATAATCCTATGAAATACAGACATGCAGTGGCGTGGAAAAAGAAAGAACAAACACGCACCAAAATGCAGTTCTTCTTTTGTCTGTGCTTTTATCTACGTGTAAAAAAAAGTGAGCGTGTTATGAAAATGGCGTTTGTGCTTACCAGTTTGGTTTGTTAAGTGCTCTCTTTATTGGTATATTCGAGGGTAGCATGTGCTATGCGTGCTTTCTTTTTGCATGGACAAAATTGCAAACTTGGGAAACTTGCTCCATAGGGTTTCAGCCTAAAAGCTTTATTAGAGTTGTAAGAATGAGCTTTATACAAAAGAATTGGTTTTGGTTATTATTTTCTAATCCTGTTAATTCAGTGTGGTTGGGAAGAGAAATGTTTACTTTAAACAATTAGTGTTGTCTGTTTTAGTTAATTGCTAATTAAACATGGGGAGAGTTTGTAAAGCAGCACAGATTTAATTGTGATAAGTCATAATGAGAAATTCACTCGCTGTATGAAAATACTGAAAGGCAATTTTTTGATTTGGTTTGAATTGGAAAATGAGAAACCAGGTTTGGGGTCTGTCAAATGCTGTCACTAGTTTTTCATCCTGATGTCACTCCGCTTTGTCAACCCACCCTTTGTCATATCTCCATATGCTTATATTCGAAGTGCCTCTGCAAAGGTCCCATCTCTTTGTAGCTTATACAGGACCATAATATTGAAATTACCACTATTTTGTTTGATTTAGAACTTGAAAATAAATTCTATGTAATATTCAGATATTTTCTTTTTGGATTTTAATTCAAATTTCTTACCTTTGCTTTCTTGTTTGCAACCAGCTGAATTGCTGTTGTTGAATACAGAAAGGGAGTTCATATTTTAATATTTTATGTATTTCATGGATCTGTCAATAGTTTTTCTTAGTAATAGAAAGCATCCTAGTTTCAAATGCAAAAAGGTATTGTTTCACTAGCGGACAGCACAGCTTTTACTGATGTCCCATGTCTGCTGAACGGGTTGCAGCCCTGCTCCCTTAGGCAGAGGTGGGCCTGAGTTTCCAATAGTGAGTTTAAAATAGAAGTAAAAGTTTTGAGACTAAGTTAACGAAAAAACAAAAAAATTCAAATACCAAACTCTCTGCCTTCTCCATGCTGTTCCTCTGGGCTTGTATCTCCTAAACAGGACAGGCTCCTACAGCGCGAGAATTCGGACGCAATAGCAAGCAGTAATCTGTCTGAGAGTGTCCTGATTATTGTAGAGTCTGTCAGACGTTAAGACTAAGGCAGTGTTTTTTTAGGAGGGTGAACAATCCTACTGTAAATGATGGCTGTTATTTTAAAAGATGTTCACAATAATCAAAAGATCTTGCCCAGTTATTCCTGCGTGTCTGTATTTAACTTTGCCAAACGGCAATCTTGCTCCTGGGAAATGATAGTATTGAAATCCAAAGGGAGTTTGCTGCATGTAAATACTTTAGAATTGCTGGAATATATAAAACATAGGCCTGTCTAAGGACAAATGCATATTTGTTTTGGTATTCTGGGTTTTAGGTTTCCGGTACTATTCATTTCATCGTGAACTTTTGTTTCCTGTGGTGCTGAGAATGAGATCATTATTGCTGTGATTCATTGTGCTTTCACATTATCCACAGATTACTGGATTATAAAGGCAGAAAGGGAGTGTTTTGACCTCTTGCATCACATTGGTCAAAGGATTCTCTTGAATCAAATCTTTTGAAGTAACGCTTTGAGATACATCTCATTTTGATTTAAAAATTTGCAGTGATGGGTAGTCAGTTGCATACCTTGGTGCAGTTAGTTAAAAAAAGAAACAGTGAAGAAAAAGCAGTTGAAATGGCTGAAGTGGGGAGACTTGTTTTTTTTTTTTTTTTTTTTTCCCCACTTGAGTCCATTTATAAACGAAGCTCCTTTGTGTTTATATTCTGTTATTTTGTATGTGTATATGTGGAGTATCAGTAGCTTTTTATCCCTTTGAGAACTTTTCCATGTGCTGGCAATCTCTGTGTGTAAGAGTATTATTGTTTTCTTCCTGCTTCAAAGAAAACATTTATCTTATGATTATATAATTTTTAAATACATATTAAGTATTATCTGCTGTTTTCAGCTGTTGTTGTATGTTCTCCTGAACTGTTCCAACTCTAAAAAGGAGTTTGAAAACAACTGCCTGTTTTTACAACGACTTCCTTTAATTGTGCTCGCAGTATTCCCAGTAAAGGCCAACCCGTTGCTACTGCATGACTCAAGTTTCCCCTTTGCTTTTGCTCCAGTGTAGCAGCCGCACATCTAATCATTGAGAGCCATTGCTGGAGGCTACCTTAAATGAAATCCAGAAATGCCACATTTTTTACTGTGACCTTTGCTTACAATTTCAGTGGACACTTGAACTAACTTCTCTAAGGAGCAAAGCAACTCTATCTTAAGCATCTCTAGTAAATTGCTTCAAAGCTGTCTGAACCCTGCAAGTGAGTTTCCCGGCTTAGTAGCTCTAATCTTTTGTGCCCACAACTGCATGTGATGTGTTCTCTGTTTCTCCTTACTTGGACAAAAGGTTGGTTTTTGTTTTTTTTTTTTTTTGGTTAAGTAATAAAGCCTGAGCGCTCGTAATGTGTTAAGTGTAGGTCTTCCACCTGGATGTTTTTAACAGTTTGGTGATGAAAAAGAATACTTCAGTGTACAGATTTTATGGCTTGAACTGAAATGCCTCGGTTAGAAATGTAGCTTTCTAGCTCACCTGGGACCTGATTTAGGCTCTGACGCCGATTCTCTCTTTCTCTCCGCTCCTCTCGCTCCAGCGTCTGTAGGGCGAATCTAGGGCAGCTCGGCGCGGGCTCTGGAGCCTCAGCGGTCAGACTGGATGAGCCCAAAGCCTGTGAGCTTCCCCCCTTGATGAGCTATCGATAATTAGGGTTCCTAAGCAATTTTATTATTAAACTTTTTCCATTTTCTCCTTTCTCACAGCTATGACCAAAAAGTTGCATTGAATTCAGTATTACTCTCTTTAGGTTTCTCAGCACTTTTTTCTTATACTTTTTGTTTTTGTTTATTTTTTTTTAATTTCCTTACTGAGCTAAATTTTAAGATTTCTTTAATGTTTTGTGTAATATTTTCTGTAATGGATTTTGGATTTTTTTGGGAGAATTACTGATGTTTCCCCTAATTAAATAGACTACTGCACTGTTTTTTAAGGCTAAAATTCGCTTTCACCTAATAACATAAACAAAATAGGATATACTGAATTTTGTCACAACTTTGCAGTACTAAATTCATACAATTCTATATGCAAACTAAGGATGGAAATGCCCAAGGATAAAACTTCTTAGTGAGACAAACGTATAAATATTAGCTGATTACATTATCTGAATTATTTCCCTTCCACAGCTGATCATATCTAGGAAAAATCTGTAGTGTGTTAGTCTATACTTTAGAAAGTATATGCGCTGATACTTACATTACCAAAACGTACCAAATTAGTGAGCTCACTTGCAGCTATTTCTATGTTTCTCGATACTGGATTTCTTAAAACACTGCTATATACGGAAGCGCACGTATGCCCTCCACATAGCCGTCTTCATGGTTGGTCGGTCGATCGGTCTCTCACGTTTTGCTCTGACGCTCCTTTTTATCGTAAAACCGGAGCTCTTTCACAACACGTAAGCTGCACCTGGCTTGCCGATACCGAAACCGGCACGTGATCGCTACTTTGACCTGAGCGCGAGAGCCACCTTTGTCCTTTAAGCTGCCTGCTTTTTCCCCCCTCTCTTTTTAGATGTTATTAAGACAACGTATTTATACGTGTGCTTAATGCCAGTAAAATCTAATGGAAAATTATAGCGGGTTTGGCTCGTTTTGGAAGGATGACGAGCTCCGAGCGTGCCCGTAAGGAATAGTAGGCCGCGACGTGATCTCCCTTCTTAGCGATGCAGCAAGGTGATGGAGGAAGTGAGAGCTCGGAGCCGGCTTTGTCGGTCAGGGGAAAGAGTCCCGAAATGGCGTTCGCTTCCTCCTTCCTCGGCAGGTCCCCGCAGAGGAGGAGGGCAAGAGAAACGTACTGCAGTTTCTTAGTTTGTCCTTTCATCTCGTTCTCTCTGCAGCGGGATCCCTGGCGCCCTCGGCCAAGGAGGCGCGCGATGCTTCCCGTTTCTTAAGTGAAGCACAAGAGTGCTCTATCTCGTTACTATCGTCGTCGTTTATTATTTTTGGGTCGTCTTTAGAGTGCAGTATACGGTGGGTAGTTGCAGGTCGCTCAAGGTATTGGTCTGTCCTTTGAGACCGTCATCCGGCGTGCCCAGCCCATGCAGTGACGGGAACTCGTGCCGGCAGGATTCCCTCCGGAGGGGGACTGATGCTCACTGTTAGCGCCCAAGCACCCAGTCTGTACTTCACTTCTGCCACGCTTTGGTTACGCACGGGTTCATTTCTTCCTTTTTGGGGTTGGTAATAAAATTAACAAACACTGACAGATTTAACAAGCGTTATATTCCTTGACTTCTTCACAGACATGTTACTCGACCTCAGCGACCTTCTTCAGGTATTGTATCTATTTTTGTTTGAAACTTTTGTTGAATTGTTAAACTTTAGGATTAATTGCAAGCCAATTGACAGCTCTTGTCAGTACAAGCTGTACGGGGTGTTTTAGCTTATATCTAGACTCTGTGAATGGGAAAATCACTAGGTTTGTAAATCAGAGTAACTGTTAAGCAAAATTAAGCATCCAATATTTTTGTTTTTAATATTACAAATAATGCATCAGTGGCTAGTATGATCCTTCCGTCAAGGTTCAGGGTCATTGCAATGGCACAGGGTCAGATGTTAAACATTTTTAAAATAACAGTTGTTGAAGACAGAAATAACTTTTTTGGTGGGTAATACTGCCTAAATGGATTAGAGGGCTAGAGAGACGTGCTTTGCAATGTGTATTTTGAGAGAAATGTGTACTTGCTCAGTATGTGGAAATAGAAAGCTCTTATTGACGTAAGCTGCCTTACTCTCCTTCTTGTTAAAACTGTTTTACATACAATGCGAGTAGGTTAGTTGTATCTATTTTTGTCTTCCCAGCTGTCTTTGTAAATGGCATCTCTCTGAAGACTATTTATTGCTTAAAGCAATCTGCTGGAATTGCAATAACCAAATGAATCTTCAGTTCTTAAAATTACCAACTTTTTTTTGTATCTTCCAAACTCTCATTGAATTAACGTTGGTTATTTATAGCCAAATACTGCATGTGTAGAATGGCAGGTTTATGTTCTTTTAGACACTGGTGATTTTTCATACCAGTTGTTATGAAACAGGAAAATCACAGTAATATGGAGAGTATTCACAGACTGTGAAGAATCAGAGGTATTGTATCCGCAGGAGGAAAGGGGGATGAAAGAGTGGCATTTTTTTTCTTGTTTCCTGTACGTTCCAGCTAGGAAAAGGTGGTGAGATGGGGCATATGAGCACCAAAAGGTTAAAGAGGGGTAACTGAAGAGATGGGAGAGCCAGAGATATTTTAGTAGTATGGAAATAATTATTTCTAGAAAGAGGAAGAAACTGCAACATGGTTTAAATATTAACTGTGTGTAATATCTGATGTTCTCAACTTTCTGGCTTCTTACAAGATAAATATGAGCAAACAAGGATCTTAAATGTCATTATTATCTGTAGTAAGCCAGAAACAAAAGTCCCCTTTAAGAATGCATAAAAGAGCTTTTTTAGGTCCTCTCTTGATTTATTTGTTTGTTTGTTTTCCTCTGGAGTTTATTTAA